GTGTCCTTGTCTCTGGTCTTCCCCGGTCCCTCCCTCCACTTCCTCCGGGGCCTGGCCCTACCTGCGTCCCCTGTGTCGAGGGACGACAGCGGGCTACCCCTCACTCCTCCCAGTTTCCTCCGACAGAGGCCCCGCTGCAGACGCTTCACATGGACGTGTGGGGCCCGGCCCGCGTCCGTGGACAGGGTCACGAGCGCTACTTCCTGCTGGTGGTTGACGACTACTCGCGTTACACCACAGTCTTCCCCTTGCGCAGCAAGGGTGATGTCACTGAGGTGTTGATCGACTGGATCCGCGCAGCTCGTCTCCAGCTCAGGCGGAGCTTCGGCTCGGACTTTCCTGTTCTGCGTCTGCACTCTGACAGAGGTGGAGAGTTCTCCTCTGGCCTTCTGCGAGCCTACTGTCGTGCACGAGGCATCCGCCAGACCTTCACGCTTCCGGACTCTCCACAGCAAAATGGGATTGCTGAGCGCCGCATTGGCATGGTCATGGACGTCGCCCGTACGTCCATGATGCATGCGGCTGCCCCCCATTTTCTGTGGCCGTTTGCGGTTCGGTACGCGGCGCATCAGATCAACCTTCAGCCCAGGGTCTCCATGCCGGAGACCTCCCCAGCCTTGCTGTGGACGGGGAAGGTTGGCGATGCGTCTGCGTTCCGTGTCTGGGGATCTCGGGCGTTTGTCCGCGACTTGTCTGCGGACAAGCTGTCCCCTCGTGCTGCTCCTTGCGTCTTCCTGGGTTTCCCCCCTGACGCCCCAGGGTGGCAGTTCTACCACCCCAATTCTCGCCGTGTTCTGTCCTCCCAGGACGTCACGTTCGACGAGTCGGTCCCCTACTACCGCCTCTTCCCCTACCGCACTCCGTCCCTCCCCCCGCCACCGCTCTTCCTGGTACCAGGTCCCCCCCCGGTAGACCCCCTCCCCCCTCAGGGTCCTGCCCCTTCAGGTGTGTCCCAGGTAGACGCTGTTGAGCCTGTCGAGGTCGCTGGTGACTCTGGTGCTGCTGAGGGTGCTGAGCCTGGGAGTGCTGACTCTGGGGGTGCTGAGCGTGTGGGTGCTACGCCTGGGGGTGCTGAGCCTGAGGGTACTACGACTGGGGGTGCTGAGCCTGGGGGTGCTGCGTCTAGGGGTGCTACGCCTGGGGGTGCTGCGTCTGGGGGTGCTGAGCCTGGGGGTGCTACGCCTGGAGGTGCTGAGCGTGGGGGTGCTGAGCCTGGGGGTGCTACGCCTGGAGGTGCTGAGCCTGGGGGTGCGGAGCCTGAGGGAGCTGGGCCTGCTGGTGCTGTGCCTGGCGGTTCTCCGGGTGCTTCTTCTCGCCGGGAGCCACTCTCTCCACAGGAGCTGCGTGAGTGGTTTGCCCGGCGCTGGAGGCGAGCTCCTGGAGCTGGAGGAGCTGCGGGTACTGGAGTTTCTGTTGCTGCTGAGGGAGCTGGTGCCACGGGTCCCGGAGGTGCTCGTACTGGGCGTCCTGGAGCTGCTGGACCTGCGGGTACTTCTGGAGCTGGAGCTGCTGCGGGTGTTGGCGCGGAGGCTACTGCTGTCGGTCCTGGCGGCGGTCCTGCTGGGGGTACTGCTGGTGCTGCTGGGGGTACTGGAGCTGGAGCTGCTACTGGTGCTGGTGCTGCCACAGGGGGTGCTGGTGCTGTCCCTACTGTGTCTGGAGTCGCCGCGCGGCCTCGGCCGTACTTCGTTCCGCTCCTTCAGCAGGTTCTTGGTCTCCCGTCTTCTACTGGTCCTCCTCCTCCCTTAGAGTGTCCACAGCCTGTCCCGTCGCAGTTACAGTTACAGCCGGCCTCCCCACTGCCTGCTCCGTCTCCCTACACTGGTCCTACTGGAGGTCTTGCTGAGCGTCGTGAGCCTGCGTCTCGCCCTGTGTCGCCTGTCCGTGCTGCTCGCACTAGTGGTCGTGGTTCGCGTCAGCGTCCTCCTCCTGTCCCTGGCACGCACCGGATGTCTCTGCGTCCGTCCACTGCTCCTCTGCGTGCCCCTTTGCCTTCTCCTCCTGAGTCTTCTCTTCCTGCTCTTGCCGACCCGGAGTCGGACTCTCTTCGTGCTGCCAGTCCTACTGTCACGCATCTCCTTGCTACTGTTGTCACTGACCCTTCCTTAGAGTCCACTGCTGCGTCTGCCCTAGTTGCTGAGCTCGTCGACTTTGCTGCTCGCTGTCGCCTAGACTATGTCGCCAGTCTTGTTGCTGAGTCTGAGTCTGTCTGTCCTCCGTCCGTCGGGGGTGAGTGTGCCCTTGGCACGGACGTCCTTGAGGACAGGCAGGAGGAGTTCCAGTGCTTGGCCGCTGCTTCACCTCATCTCGTGTCCGTACTGCTTACCCCTGAGGGAGACCCGGATGCACTTGACATCCCGACTCCGCGCTCTTACGCGGAGGCGATAGAGGGTCCCTACTCCTCTCAGTGGCAGGCAGCTATGGACGCAGAGATGGCTTCCTGGAAGTCCACAGGCACCTACGTTGACGCTGTTCCCGGCGAACATCGTCAGTGGCATGTGGATTTTCAGGGTGAAGCGGCCGCCAGGTTCTCCGCCTGTCTTCAAGGCGCGTTACGTGGCTCGAGGCTTCAGTCAGCGGCAGGGAGTTGACTACTTTCAGACCTTCTCTCCCACCCCGAAGATGACCACTCTTCGGGTACTGCTGCACGTAGCTGCTCACCGTGACTATGAGCTACACTCTCTTGACTTCAGCACTGCTTTCTTGCAGGGCAGCCTGCACGAGGAGATCTGGCTGCGTCGCCCACCTGGTTTCACTGGGTCTTTTCCTCCTGGCACCCAGTGGAGCCTGCGGCGGCCAGTTTACGGTCTTCGCCAGGCACCGCGTGAGTGGCACGACACACTGAGGACTACACTTGCGGCTCTTGGGTTTGCTCCCTCTACTGCCGACCCGTCGCTGTTTCTGCGCACCGACACTTCTTTGCCGCCGTTCTACATCCTCGTGTACGTCGACGACTTGGTCTTTGCCACAGCTGACACTGCTGGACTCGCCCACGTGAAGTCCGAGCTGCAGAAGAGACACACGTGCACTGACCTGGGTGAACTGCGCAGCTACCTTGGCTTGCAGATCACTCGGGACAGAGCACGCCGCACCATTACCCTGACTCAGTCACACATGGTGCAGCAGGTCCTTCAGCGCTTCGGCTTCACGTACTCCTCGCCTCAGGCCACTCCTCTGCCTACTCGCCACTCGCTCTCAGCTCTGCCTTCGGATGAGTCCGTAGAGTCGAGTGGCCCGTACCCAGAGCTTGTTGGTTGCCTCATGTACCTGATGACCTGCACACGACCTGACCTTGCATACCCTCTTAGCATTCTCGCACGCTATGTTGCTCCTGGGAGACACAGACCGGAGCACATGGCTGCAGCGAAGAGGGTGTTGCGCTACTTGTGCAGTACGTCGGGCATGGGGCTTGTGCTTGGAGGGCAGAGTCCAGTGGTCCTTACTGGGCACGCAGACGCTTCTTGGGCTGACGACCAGGCTACGCAGCGGTCGTCACAGGGTTACACATTCAGCCTTGGTTCCGGCTCTGTTTCGTGGCGGGCTACTCGCTCGTCTTCTGTTCTCGGCTCCAGTTGTGAGGCTGAGATCTACGCAGGAGCCATGGCTGCACAGGAGCTTCGCTGGCTCACCTACCTGCTGACTGACCTCGGAGAGCCGCCTCGTTCTCCTCCAGTGCTGTACGTAGACAACAAGGCCATGCTGGCCTTGTGTCGGGAGCAGCGACTGGAGCACAGAACGAAGCAGATTGCTCTCCGCTACTTTCTTGCTCGTGAGCTGCAGCAGCGTGGTCAGCTGCGTCTTGCGTACGTGGCCTCTGAGGCCAACACTGCTGATATCTTCACCAAGGCGCTTGCGCCTTGTGACCATCAGCGCTTCTGTACTCAGCTGGGCCTTGTGCCTACCTTGCCTCACTTGCTCACCTCTTGACCGTGCTTGTACTGTTACATATATATATACCTGCTCTTGCTTGTCTAGCCTTTTTATATATATGTACTCCTGCATGTGAACTGGCCTTGTGGCCTTGAACTTGTGCTCGGAATGTGTGGTGACTTTGTGATCCACCCTGAGCTTTCTTTGCTTTGCTTTACTTGACTGGTCTTGTGACCCCTTGTTCTCCCCCACTTTGCCTATGGGGGTGTGTCAGAACATTATAGCTCTTGCATATTGTGTAGGCTATAGTGGGGTAGCCCATAAGGGGTACAACCCAATTAGGGTTATTACCTGTACCCAATTCATTCATAGTTCATTCATTCCTTGTTTCTTCTCAGTACATGCCCTGGTCGTGCGGCAATTGCTTGAAGCCGATGCGAATGAGGCGAGCGTGTAGGTATTGTTGCCATAGTCGCGGAGCTTGCTTGATGCCGTAGAGCGACTTGAGTAGTTGACAGACGTGGTTCGAGTTCGTGCTGGAGCCGTGTGGTAGCTCGACCAAGATCTCTGCGTCAACAGGTGCGTAGAGGAATGCGTTAGCAACGTCGATTTGCCGCAGCTTCTTCTTCTTCTTCATGGCGGCGATCGCGAGAAGGATGCGTAGCGAGGTGTGTCGGCTGACCGGAGCGAATGTTTCGGTGAAATTGCGTCCGTGCTCTTGGTCGAAGCTGCGTACGACCCAGCGTGCCTTAAAGCTTTCGTATACATTTGCAAGTACTGTTTGGACTTGCACTGTAGCCAGGGAAAAATTCGCCAGAACGAAACAACTGAGCGTGGCGAGAGGTTTGGCGAAAAATTGCAGCTTTGAGGAGTTCCAAACACAGGAAACTCCCCCGTCACCCAACCTTGGAGTCAGATTTGTGCGGCAACTCCCTGCGTATTTATTACTATGCACTTGTGATTCAAGAAGCATGCATACACTCCCAACTCTAGTACATTTTTGGCACTTCAGGACCAAAATCAAGCTCGTAGCCTCACAACATGTTTTATAAAAAAAGTCCTTACAATTGTATCACTATATACATAACCTTTATCACCCAACCCTGGATTCTTCGATACCAATCACGTGACTAGTCATATGCCTGTGCACGAATGCAGGGAATGGAAGGGAATGGCAGGGAATGGAAGTGTATGGAAGGGAATGGAAGTGTATGGAAGGGAATGGAAGGGTATGGAAGGGTATGGCTGGGGTATGGAAGGGAATGGTAGGTATGGAAGGGTATGGAAGGGAATGGAAGGGTATGGAAGGGAATGGAAGGGTATGGAAGGGAATGGAAGGGTATGGAAGGGAATGGAAGGTATGGAAGGGTATGGAAGGGAATGGAAGGGTATGACAGGGGATGGATGGGTATGGCTGGGGTATGGAAGGGAATGGTACACTTACGCTAGGGAAGGAAAGGTATGGCAGAGTATGGCAAGGTATGGCAGAATGAGGGACGGGCTTGGCTGGCGTATGGAAGGGTATGGGAGGAGATGGAAGGGTGTGGCGGTGTATGGCAGCGGATGGATGAGTATGGCATGCGATCATCCAAGGGTACGGTAGGGGTTAGAAGCATATGAGAGGGAGAAGGGGGGAAAATGAAAGGAGATGGGGGGAAATGAGCGGGGGGGAAACGAGATGGAGAAGGGGGGGGAAATGAGAAGGAGCACGTGGGGAAAGGAGAGGGAGATGGGGGGAAACGAGAGGGGGAAGGGGGGGGGAATGCGGGGAAATGAGAGGGAGGTTATGTGGCATTTAACTGAGTGGTTAAGGGGGGAATGAGAAGGAGCAGGGGGGAGAATGAGAGGGATAAGGGGGGGAAATGAGAGGAAGAAGGGGGGTACATGAGCGAGAGAAGGGGGGACATAACAGTGAGCAGGGGGGAGGATGAGAGGGAGAAAGGGGGGGAATGAGGGGCTTCATGGGGGGAATGAGAGGGAGTAGGGGGAGATATAAGAGGGGGAAGGGGAAGAAATGAGAGGGAGAATGGGGGGGAATGAGCGGGAGAAGGGGGTGACATGAGAGAGAGAAGGTGGGGACATGACAGGGAGCAGGGGGGGAGATGAGAGGGAGAAAGGGGGGGATGAGGGGCTTCATGGGGGGAATGAGAGGGAGAAGGGGGGAGGAATGAGGGAGAGCATGGGGGGGAAATGAGAGTGAGCAAGGGGGAAAATGAGAGTCTGCAAGGGGGGAAATGAGAGTGCGGCTGCCGCGGCTAGTGCGGAAACGTGGTAGCGAGGCTGTGCGATCGGGCGGCGACTGTGATGTGTGTTCGGCAGTTTGAGAAGGGAGGCGAGAAGGGATAATCGGGAGTGGGAAGGGGAAGCGGGGAGGCGGGAAGGGGAATTGGGAAGGCGGGAAGGGGAAATGGGGAGTGGGAAGGGGTAATGGGGAAGCGGGAAGGGGTCACGGGGAGGAGGGAAGGGGTAATGGGGAGCGGGAAGGGGAATTGGGGAGGCGAGAAGGGGTAATGGGGAGCGGGAAGGGGAATTGGGGAGGCGGGAAGGGGTAATGGGGAGCGGGAAGGGGAATTGGGGAGGCGGGAAAGGGTAATGGGGAGCGGGAAGGGGAAACGAGGAGGCGGGAAGGGATAATGGGGAGCGAGAAGAGGAAATGGGGTGGCGGGAAGGGGAATTGCAGAGGCAGGAAGGGGTAATGGGGAGCGGGAAGGGGAAACGAGGAGGCGCGAAGGGGTAATGGGGAGCGGGAAGAGGAAATGGGGTGTCGGGAAGGGGAATTGGGGAGGCGGGAAGGGGAAACGGGGAGGCGGGAAGAGGTAATGGGGAGCAATCGTTTCTGATTACCCTCGCGACACCTCAATTGCGGCTGCCGCCGCTACTGCGGAAACGTGGTAGCGAGGTCGCGCGATCGGGAAGCGACTGTGATCGTGCGTGTTCGGCAGTTTGAGACGCAGCGTGCGCGTTCATGGTGGCGTGAGGAGGCCGCGTGGTGAGGCAACGCGACGGACGACGAGGCGAGGCTGTGAGAAGGGGTCCGGCGGGCTCGCCGTGTTAGAGGGCGGAACTGACGTTGGCTCGGACGTGTAATTACACTAAACTGCCCCACGCGTCTAAGTTTGTGTCGGAAACGGGAGTGATTTGCGCTGGCTGTTGTCGCGATGTGCTTTGCTACGATTTATGCTGCCTGTTGAGCGTAGTGGCGTAGATCTCACATGGACTGGATTTCGTATACTTTTGTTATTCCAAAAGTTTTGAATCACCAGTGAGCCCTGGGTGACGGGGAGATCACCTCCCTTGTGAAGCGAGTGAAACTAGCTGTTTCTGGGTTACCAATATTTCAAATTTCAAAACTTTTGAACCTCCCTTTTTCAAATGTATACGAAAGCTTTAAATTTGTCGATGGTGCCGTCAGCCTTTGTCTTCACACGGAAGACCCACTTCCCGGTGAGCACTGTCTTGTTCCGTGCCACGCCGATAGGAACCACTTTCCACGTGTTGCGTTCCTCCAGTGCCTTCAGTTCCTTGTCCATGGCTTCGCGCCATTTTTCCTTATGTTCCCCCCCCAGAGCGTCGCAGGCTCTTTAGGAGTGGCGGTGCCGTGGACTGCGGTGACGAGTCCGAGAATCTGCAGTCCACTCTGTGAGTAGCGGGGAAGATTTACGTCCTCGGGATAAGCTGCTTCATCTCCCGCTTCTTGATCAGGTATGAAGTTCGGTCCTACTCGTTCTGCTTCGTTGGTGTTGACTGTCGCAGGTGTTACGTAACCGTTGTCGGCGAAATGGTAGAAGGTTTCGGCGTTGGCACTTTCGCGAGGGTTGTCTTCGTCCATGGGAACGTCGACGGAGCAGAACGGAAGAGGTCCGGCTTCTTCTGATGCGTTGTCCACATTCTGCTCGTCCCAGTCAGCTTCGTCCGCTGCTGAGGCGAAGGCTCGGTCACCACGAAAACCACCTGTGGGATCCTGGTCTTCGTGCAGGTTGGCAAGGTATGTCTGGAGCGTGAGTCGTTCGTAGAAAATTACATCACGTGCTGCTACTGTTTCCTTGGAGTGGACGTCGAAGATTTTCCACGCGTTGTAGTTCTTTTCGATTCCCAGGTGTAGTCCCCACTGTGCTCGTTGAGAAAATCGGCCCGCTCGTGCTGCTGGGGGTTGGTACTGTACCATGCATCCGAATACTCGTAACAGTTTTGTGCTGCCCTGTTTCCCTGTCCATAGCAGATGCGGTGATGTGTTGTTCGGAAGCGATGATGACGACAGCAAGTTGTGCAGCATGACGGCGTGGTCCATTGCTGCAGGCCACTGGTGGTTGGGTAGCCGCATGCCACGTAACAGTTTGCGCATGCTGTTCTGCAAGGTCCTGTTCATTCTTTCTGCTACACCCTGCTGCTGATGGGCGTAGGGAAGGGAGATGAGCCGCTTGATTCCCCTTTCCCCCAGGTACTGCTTGAATCGCTGAGAGGTGTATTCTCCTCCTCCGTCTGACTGGAAGCTTTTCAGTTTCACGCCCGATTCTCTCTCTGCTACTGGTAGCCAGGCCACGAAGGCTGCGAATGCCATGTCGCGGCTAGGGAGGTTTAGGTGCCAGACGTAACGGGTGGCGGCGTCGATGAAGGTGATTGTATAGTTGTATATTACTTGTCCTGGTTCCTGATTGTACAGGATGTCGCTGTACACCTTCTCGAGTGGTGCGTACGCGGGTGCGCTTGGGTTGTGATGAGACGCAAACGGTCGATGTGGTAAGTCACCTTCAGGGCAGGTGAGGCACGTTCCGCGTACTCGTTGAAGTTCTCGTCCGTCGGTCAGTAGGAGTGAGTCCTTGTCGAGTACTCCTGCTCTTATCGTATTGTTTAATACTGTGTTGCTTGGGTGTCCCATCCTTGCGTGCCAGGTGCTTTCGTCGGCGCGATGTCCGGGTGATCGTCGGTACATATCGGAGTTGGAGTAGAAGTTGGCGGTGAAGTTGGCGCTGCGATGAACTTCTCGTGGTGCTGGGTGTAATTGTTGCGAGGGTGTCGGTGGTGTGTCGTCGATGAGGAGTGGTGTCGTTGAAGGTTCAGCAATTGGTGTTGATGTTCCTGCTGCTGCCGTTGATGGTTCTGCTGCTGCCGATGTTGTCTCTGCTGCTGCCGATGTTGTCTCTGCTGCTGCCGATGTTGTCTCTGCTGCTGCCGATGTTGTCTCTGCTGCTGCCGATGTTGTCTCTGCTGCTGCCGATGTTGTCTGAATTATTGCTAACGCCCTTGTTCTTTCTGCTTCAGGGATGGTGTGTGAATACCAGAAGCCTTCTGGACTAAAGTCTGGATCAAGGTCTGGAGGGTGTGTCCAGTTGGTGAAGTTAACGATGGCGTCGCTGTCGGCGGTGCCAAGATCAGGAACGAAGTCAAGAACGAAGACGTTGTTTTTGAGGACCGCCTTGCCGATGTAAAGTCCTCCTCTCCCGTGATACAGCTTGAATTCTTGGGTGGTGCTGTCTGCTTCGAGGTGAATCCCTTTCGCCATTAGCTGACTGACGCTCAGTAAGTTGTAGCCGAGTCCCTCCGCGATTAGTACTTTTGACATCTGCAGTATAACGTTTGTTTCCCTTGACTGAAGTTGAACTACGCCTTGTCGTCGTGTTCGCAGGTTCTGATTGTTGGCGACTGTAATGACAACTTCGCGTTGAAGTTGGTGTTCTCGTTGAACGAAGCGTCCCGAGGAGCACATGTGCTGTCCGCAGCAACTGTCCAAGAACCATGTGTCCTTTCCGGATGGTTCGCTTTGGGCGATGGCGGCGTATGTCGGGTTCGGCTGAAGTGACTCGCGGCGGGGTGTGGTTTCGTCGAGTTGTTCTTCCGGTGAGTAGTGTGGTGGTGACTCGGTGATGCAGGAGTCACTCAGCTTTGCCATGCAGCTGACGATGTTTCTTGCTCCTTGTGCAGGTTGTCCCGTTGAAGTCGTTGAGGCTTGAATCTGAGTCATGGGATTTGCTTGCGTTGAGGTGATTTGGCTGCTTGAAGGTCGAAGTTGCCGCTGTGGAGTTGTTGACTGTTGACGGTTCGGGCAGTGTGTACGCGGGTGTCCTGAAGTTTTGCAGATGTGGCAGAACGGAGGTACTGGCTTCGGTTGTTGCTGCCGGTTGTTGTTGTTGTTGTAGCGTCGCTGAGTGTGGAACGTGAATTCCGGTGCTGATGTCTTCTTTTTGTGTCGTTCTTCTTGCAGGTCCATGTCTTGCTGCTCGGCGTGGATTTCGGCGCAGAGCGCTGCTTCGGAGATTCTTCCGTGAGCTCGGAGAATGGCCCTTGTGGCGCGCCATTGAGGACCGAGGCCGCCGATGAGGACTGTCACGAAGGCGTCTTCAGAAATCGACCCTCCGCATCGAAGAAGCTTGTCGCGCAAACTCGCGACATCGACTGATATATGCCATTCCTTTCTCCCCTGGTTTCATTTCAACCGTTGTCAGTTGCGCCATTAACCGACTTTGGCTTACGCTGTCTGTTGCTTGATACAGGCTCTTCAGGTGGTTGTACGCGAGCTCCGCGGAGTTGCCGTAACCTCGGTAAGACCTTATGTTCTGCTGTTGAGTCGGGGTGATATTCCTCAGTAGGATCGTGTACGCCATCATTGACTGATAGGTGTACTGCTGCTTCTCGTACTGTGTGCCGTTTGTTGGGTATGGCAGAGACCCGTCGAAGAACCCGAGTATCTGCGCGCCTTCCATCATCAGCTCGAACTCGAACGACCAGGTGAAGAAGTCCTTTCCATCGAAGGGTTTTGACGTCTGCATCTTCAGGACGTGTGCGAACTGCGACTGAACTTGTAATGCGTCCAGTGATTTTTCTTGTCCAGGTGAAGGCTGTGGGTGTGGCATAAAGCTGATGGACCCGCGCTCGTACGGAGCAAAGGTAGGCTGCTGTTGTTGATTTCCTCGTGCATATGATGAGCCGTCGAGACTCATGGGTGTTGCTCCGTTGTTGTTGCTGTTGTGTGACTGCGCAGGTGCCGATTGCTGGTGTTGCTCGTAGAGGGACATGAAGGAGAAAAACTTCTCCATCATGCTCTGGTCGAAGTCTGCAGGTTGATTCGCGGGAGTCTCGGTAGATGTTGCTCTGGGTTTTGTTGCCGTGCCCTCCTCTGTCTGTAGGCCAGAGGCAGGAGGTGGAGTAGGAGTAGTGCCCTGGGAGCCGTTGGAGTTGCTCCTTTCCTTTTGTGTAGCCATGCTTGTTGGTGTTGTCGGTATAGAAGTTGAATTCCCCCTGATAGCTCTCATACCATGTTAGGCTGAAAAAAGCCCTTAGGATCTTTGCAGGGGTGAACTCTGGGTAGAGTTGGTGTAGTAGCGGAAGCGTTAATAAAGAGTTGTGAACCACCTTGCGCTAGTATGTGAGGGCAAAGTAAGTTGATTAAAACAAAGAGATACAAGATTATATAGGAGTACAAGGAATATGAAAGGATACGGTTATAACTGTTTTACTTGTTGCTGTTGCGGTTCGATACAGTGACGACTCGGGCAACTGCTCTGTAGCGAGTCAGTTGTGTGTCCTTGCTGTCGCGCTGTACTTGTCAGGTCAAAGGTCGCTGACCTTTGACTTTCGCGTAACCTCCAGCGGTTACTTCAACCTCCGAGGGTTGACTCGCTGGTGCCTCGGTATGCTTTGCTTCGCTTGTGCCTTAGTGTTTCGACACGACAGAAGCGCTTAGGACCGATTGTTTCCAACACCTCTTACCTAATACACATTCCTTCCTAGCTAATCTCGACATGGTATTAAGAGCTAGGACGTTCCTAGCCTAGGACCGTAATTAAGGGCCCACCACATTCGTTTTTACCTGCCCGACCGTTAGTTTCTGCCCTGCCCAGCGTTTCACGCAGCCCTGCCCTTTTCTGCCGTGCGCAGCCCTTATAATCCGCGTAGGCCCGAGCACAGCCCGTACAGCCCGCGCCAAGCCGTCGCACAGCCCGTACAGCCCGCGCCAAGCCGTCGCGCAGCCT